AAGCCTCAGATTTTTTAACATAAACCAATACTGTAATGTGCGCCTTACTGTAATCCATGGTTGTTTCCCTTCTCTTTGCTGCTCTTCCTTTTAAATCTGTATCTGTTCTCATGCTGGGCAGAACTTCTGTTTTGCAGCAGACTGCCTTGTCTCTGGAATGACTACATGGTGTCTGTGTGTAAGTTTGCAACCTGAGCCAGCACTACAGGAAGAGGCACCCAGCTGCAAAGGGAAGTTCTGCCCCAGCATGAGAAGACATGAGGATTTAAAAGGAAGAGCAGCAAAGAGAAGGGAAACTACCATGGATTACAGTAAGGCACACATTACAGTATTGGTTTATGTTAAAAAATCTGAGGTTTTAATGTCACTTTAAGGGGTCATTCCTCAAGAAGAGCAGTAATAAAAATATTTCCCTATGAACAATTGCAAAACTCACTGTACCCAACAGTAGTAATGGAAGAGGAAGAAGTTATGTCTAGTGCAAGCTGCTTTGGTTCTCATGGCCATATGCCAAGCAATTCTACTGGAGATATATAAAATAGAATCATAAAAACACAGGTGTGACCCTGTGCTAATCACTTTTATCAAGACAGTGAGTGCCACTGCTCAGTTTAATGTTATTCATAATTGTAGCTGAAGCAAAGCAAAATGCATTTATATTAAGCTGGATCACACTTGTATTATTGTTTGTTTGTGCAATTTTACTCTGCCAGACCATGTATCGAGACTAGGTAATGTTATTATTTCACCACTTCACCATTTGGCACATATTTTCCTCTTCTATATTGGATTTCTCCCCTCGCTGAGTGAGCTGCACCTGCCGTGTAATAAGAAACGGGGGATTTGTTTCATCAGAAGAGTGAATATCCCATCTAGACAGACACTCACCACAATTACGTTTATTGACCATTGAGTTATATGGTCATGGATCTCTGGTGAGTGTGTCCTCAGTTACCTTAACACATCGGGAGTTTGGAGCACTTTATTTCAGAGGATCATTGTCACATTGTGGATTTTGCACAAAAGCACTTTATACTATTAAAGGACTATTTAATAGTATAAAGTAAAGTAAAGTATAAAAGGACTATTATTGAATATTGTCATATTGATTATTATTATTATGTTTGAAAATGTGTTTATGAAAATGTACACATTGTATGGAAGTTTATGCACGTTTATGAGCAGTAGCGCAGTGCACGCGATTTATCAATTCACTTATTTATAGCACAGCAGCTGACACTGTTTAGTGTAATCATTGGATTTACTTTAGGGAAATATTTAGCCCAGCACATTTATATATATAATGTTATTATATGGACTCACTGAACACAATAAAACAGTTCCAGTAAAACTTTTCAACCATACTTGGTCTCAATCAAGGGATATCATTTTGTACAATGAGCCATGCTATGTAAATTGTAAGAACAGTGCTGACCTCCTGTTTCTAGTAAGTAGGGGTTACAGGAGCAGGGCACTCTTCTTATAAGCTATATAGTGTGGTTCTTTGCAAAATATTGTGCCATTTCGATTAAGACCAAACATGGCTGAAACATGTTAGCAGCTCAGTTTGTACCTGTTTTGCATCTTTTATCAGATTATATTTTATCTAGACCTCAAAATAACTGAGTGTTATTTCCTATGGTGGCATCAGGACCATGCATTCGGGACCCTGAGTTAGTTATTGTCTAGTGATGACTTAAAGAGAGCTGTTATTTTGTTTTCTTTACCTAAATGAGCTTGTATGGTAAAAACATAGTTGGCGCATATTATAAGTACTGTGTGATTGTTAAAGGAGAACTATGGGGTTAAGGCTTTTCCCCATAGTTCTCCTTAGGATAACGGGAGGACACAAACTAGCATCCTCCCGTCACCCTAGGCTCTGTATACAGCTTGCGGTATACTGAGACGCGACAGTATACCGCGAGCTGCTGCTCACGGTATACTAAGACGCCGTAGCTGAAGCGGATCCCGACAATCATGTCGGGATCCGTCCAGCTGCGTGGCTGACAGCTGGCTCTGCCTATCTAGAGGCAGAGCAAGCTGTACCCGCCCCCCTCCCCGTCCGTTCCGCCAGTCAGCGCTGGAGGATCGGACAGGGGAGGGGGGAATCCAGCCCCTCCCCTGCCACGGCAGAGAGCCGTGACAGGATCGAGAGGTGAGCGAACGCCGGTATGTGTTCGCTCACCTCCCGATCTACTGAGCCGACCTGTGACAGTTTCATTGTCACAGGTCGGCTAGAACTATGAGGTGAGTGAAAAGCACTCACCTCATAGTTCTCCTTTAAGCATAAATTAGCAAGTTTAGATGGTTTTATGCCTGGTTTCTTAAAAAAAAAAAACGGATACTCATGTGTGAACAGCCATGGAAGATGCTTTCTGTTAGGCGATAACTTCCTTATTGAATTCCTTTGAATATTTGGCTGCATTAAGACTTACTACTGCCAGGGACTTGGAACCCAGCTAGGGACTTAGAATTCAGGATACTGTTTCTTCCTCAGTACAGCTCACTATTTCATAAATGTACAGGTCACTCTACTTATGCTGGTAGAGCCTGACCTTGTGCCATATGTCAACATGTTTGTTAACACTTTAGACAGATTCTTGGTATGGTGAAGAGTAGATTTATTAATAATCATAATAAAATAGGAACATTTCTCAATTATTTTTAAGCAAAGGGTGGATATAAGTGGGGTAATTCTCTACAAAAACAAATTCATCAGCAATCATTATTGCTAGTTGGCTAATGGACCTAAATTAAAAGCTGTTTTTAAGATCATATTAAACGCAGAGGTCTCAGCTTCATATGTTTGCAAATATATAGTTTTAAACAAAGAGGAACATTAAGGCTGGGTTCACACCTGGGCATTACTATAAGCGCGTTTTATGCATGTTTTTTCAGCTCGTTTTTAAGCACGTTTTTTAGTTCAGTGAAACGCGCGTTTGACGCTCGTTTTTATACCTCCCTGGTGGTATGATTTTTTTTTTCCTTTTTTTCTCTATCTTTTTTTTTTTTTTACTTTTAAACTTCCCGCCGGTTCCGCCCCCCTGCGATGCGGACGCTCGCAAGGGACGGAACCCGGAAAATGGCAGCGGCCTGAGGACACAGCGGAGATCGCGGACAAGGTAAGACCTACGCTGTATTCCCGAGTGTGGCTCAGCGGTTACCACTTTGTTAACCCCGAGCCCCACTCGGGAATACAAATGGATACGCACGGAAATATGCCCCAAAAGAAGCTCCTGTACTAGTTCGGGCGTAGGGCGTTTTTCAGCGCGTCAAAACGCAATGAAAAACGCCCAGGTGGGAACCATGCCCATAGGTAATTATGGGATTTCACTGCTTGAGCGTTTTTCAGCGATTCGATCAGCGCTGAAAAACGCCCAGGTGTAAACCCAGCCTTACCTGTATATTACCACACCCTAAATTAAGATACCAAGACTTGCTCTGGGCAGCTGGATACATCTCATGTATATTAAATATTACAAAGAAATGAAGCAGTAAGTTAGTCAACTGTAACAAGGAAAATGTGCACTGCACTGTGGGACTTGATTACATACTAATTATGGGTTTACCTATCACACCTGTCCCTAAATAGCAAATACAATTTATTACTGGTCAGTTAACATAAGATTTCAGGATGTTTAGAGCCATAAACATGTATGCTTCTATCAGATAAGCATGCATGTTTATGTATTAAGGTGAATCTGTACTTTGGTTCACTTAAAAGTCAACTGCCCCATTCCTCTCTGTTCACGTGCTGGAGCTCTGTGTCAGCTTTAAATCAGTCTGGGTAGAGATACACAGGACTAAGGACCCTCCGCTATTTCCATGTAAAAGCACTCAGATCTGACATTTGATCGCTCAAGACAAATGATTGTTTCCTAAACGGACAATAATTAGCTGTAGCGTACAATAGTCATCCTCAATGGCCAAAGGAAGCATCAGACCCTTTCACATTCTTAAAGTGTATGTATGGTAAAACGTATTCTTTTTGGTTTTAGTAGGGTTTAGCACCAAGTTATCCATTGATTAATGCTGAAAGTTTTACTTTTAAGTGATACCCTTTATTGGCTAACTTAATTTATTAAAGATACAAGATTTCAGGACCCATGAAGTCACTTCCTCAAGCTTTTGGATAGAGTAGTGAAGGGTTAAAACCCTCTATTAGTTTCTTTTCTGATGTCAGTGTGTCATTGGGGAGATTTCCCTTCACCTCCTGTCATGAAGATACAACAGGAAGTGATTAGAGATCTCTCCAAACTGAGCAAAATACTTACCACTTGTTCTGGTAAAAACTGTAATATTTTGGATATCCCATCAGTGTTCGTCTCGTTGGCAATGGTGCCCAGGACATTACAGAGGATGTATCTTCCAGCAGGAAGACAGACAGCAGGAAAAACCCTTCAGAGATTCTAATCCTTCCACACTCTATTCAAAACTAAAAAATTTAAATTTTAAGCATGCTGGGACATAGCTAGTGCAGACGAGTGATGATATACTGTTTGCTAATGATATGGGTTGTAATTATAGAAACATTTATTATAAAGGACAACTATAGAAGGCAACAGCAATTAGTAATTAAAATATTACACACCAATCTAGCTTGTTTAATAATTTAAAATGTGGCAAGTGCAGTAACCTGTTTAATCAGTCAAAAAACTTTTATTGGTCTGACTGTGCTAAAAAGATGAAAAGTTATTGTTTAGAAATTGTTATTGGGTACTTCAATTTATTATTAATATTATTATTATTTTTTATTATTATCATACATAGTTTTACAATTTACAGATCATCACTGGTCAATGTGCTATCTAATAAAATAATTTCTAAAATGTAGGTTATAATTTTATGTCTACATGCTATGTGCATACAGCTAAAGTTTGATTAAAAATAACTGTCAAAAGAAGATAAAATAAGGGATCAGCTCTTTGGTAAACTTAGAAAATAAGTGATTCCAGTCTAGTGACCAATTCAAGTAACCATTTACTACAGGTCTTTTTCAGGTTTAAAAATGGCCAACCTATTGAACTGAGAACTTCACCTCCTGGAAAATATAGGATACTTAATGAATATGGCATGTTAACTCTAGAGATCCGCAGGTAAGATCACTATAACTAGAAATGCTGTGGGTCACAGTGACCTAGTTATTCTTAACCGACAGACTGCATAGAAAACAAGGTTTCAGTTTATACTTATAGCTCTATTGCATACTTGCTAAACATGTGCATTGGCTTTAAGACCTACAGAGAGCATATATTGCCATCTGGTGGAAAGATTTAACTGTAGCAATCACTGTATTGCTACCTTCATTTTTGTGAAAATCATATGAAATATACTATATGATGAACAGAAAAGGTATATGACATTATCATATCTAACACATACTTTACAGATGGTGAATTGAACACATATCCATATGATGCACACAACTTTGTATAAGCAAATAGATGTAGGTCCGGCATATAACGTTAGGAGAGGTTTTACAATCATGAAAGATTGGAAAATTGCCTTGCTATTACAAACACCAGGACTGTTTACACCATCACTCAAATGATTCTCTTAGTTTTACTGAACTGAAAATTACTGAAAATGTTTAGCATGCTGGAAATTTTCTGCAGTCACCACCAGCTTTTCCTCAACACTGCTTATTCTACAACCCCAATTCTAAAAATGTTGGGATGCTGTGTTTAATCGACATAAAACAGAATGCAATGATTGGTAAATTTCATAAACCCAGATTTTATTCATAGTAAAAAATAGAAAACATATCAAATGTTTAAAGTGGGTCAATATGAAAAATATGACAAAGAAGACCCAGGACTGCTGAGCAGTTAGAATCCAATATCAGGCAGGTGTGGGCCAACATTCCTCGTCCAAAACTCCAGAAACTGGTCTCCTCAGTTTCCAGACATTTACAGAGTGTTGCTAAAAGAAGAGGGGATGCCACACACTGTGGTAAACAAGGCCCTGTTACAACTTTTTTGAGAGTTTGTTGCTGCCATTAATTAAAAAATTACCTTTTTTTTTCTTAAAATGGTAACATTTTTTCAGTTTAAACATTTGACATGCTTTCTATTTTCTATATGTGAATAAAAACATAAAAATATGTTTTTATGTAGAATTTATACAGCGTCCTAACTTTTTTGGAATTGAAGATATACTGTATACAGTTGTGTGAAAAAGTGTTGGCCCCTTCCTGATTTTTCATTATTTTGCACATTTGTCACACGTTAATGTTTCAGATCATCAAACAAATTTAAATATTAGTCAAAGATAACACAAGTAAACACAACATGCAGTTTTTAAAGGAAGGTTTTTATTATGAAGGGAAAACAAAATCCAAACCCACATGGCCCTGTGTGAAAAAGTGTTTGTCCCTTGTTTTCTGAATAGATGTTCAATAGAAGATTCTGCTGACTACAGTGTTGTGGCTACCAATGATTTCGGCCAGGCAACCTCCTTCGCTAATATGCTTGTAAAACGTAAGTATTTTAAAGCATTAACGATCAATCAATATGTAGGCAGAGACAAAGAAAACGTTTTCCTACTTTTTTAACCTAGAAAAACAAACTCTTCTATGTTTCTTTACCAACCCCTATCTGGGTCCCATCATCAATTCACCAACATCAATAGAAATATTATTTTCTATTCTTTTATAGGTTGCATGCGACTCTTGATTTCTTTTTTTTTTTTGTTCTGTTTTTTTTAGAATATCAAGGATTAAAAGCAGGCTGGGACTCAGTCTCATATCCCGGTGAGTGAAACAGGACTAAATGTTATATTAATTTGTTAAAAACCTAAACAGTCTAATTGAGCCAGTGGGGAATCTAAACTTTTCTGGCTCTGGTGGCAAATGGGAATACCTACAATATTAATATCACCCACTACCCATGTAACTGATTCTCACAGGATAACAATATATGAACATAAACCAGGCAAACTGATATTTCCATGATATTTACATTAATGACAATCACTAAAAGAATTGAGAATGCACACTGTAATGCATTGCAGGCACTTGGAGTTCTACATAGTTGAGGCTATTCTTCATTGCTGTATAATCATCATACAGCAATGCAGACTACCACCTGCTATGCGGGACTACAAGTCCCAGCAATACATTATAATAAAAGTCACCACTACAGAATATCACCAGCATCCCCCCCACACACTTCCCCGCGCCCTCCCCCCGTTCCCCCTCCAGACTTACCTTCCCTCTCCTGCAGGCCCCTGTTCCTCGTCTCGGCGTCCAGGGGGCTGAGGTAAGAGGAGAGGGTCCTCACACAGCAGAATGTGCTGCCCGGCAGTGCCTGCAGCACATTCTGCGGGACTGGTGACAGCCTCTTCAGCCCTGCCGCACAGCCACCCGTACAAGCTGCGGTTGGCTCTTCTTCCTCGCTGGGCCCCCCCAGGGTGGCGGAACGCCAGGGCCCGGTCGCAATTGTGACCGCTGCGGCCCTGGCAGTTCTGCCACTGTATATACATATATACTGTATGTATATATATCTATAGATATATATATCTATAGATATATATAGATATATGTATATCTATATATATCTATATGTATCTATATATATAGGTATATATATATATATAGATATATATAGATATATATTGTATTAATGGGGGGGTTTGGATCTGGTCAGTGGAAATAGCACTGATCTACTGCTATAGGGAGAGGCTACAGCAGCCCTACCCACAAGCTTCCATACTGACAGGAAGTGTGGTGAGTCACTCACGATATCAATACACTTCTGATGTAAACACAGTGTAAGCATTCTATGGAGCGATCTGTAGAAGTGTCAGGTTTCAATTCAACAAAGGTACAATGCAATGTGCGGTTTTCAGTGAATTGGCACCAATCCCGACAGCACACATCATTGGCTGCTTGTGTGAATAAGCCCTTAAGAAAATTTAAATTTCTGTGACTCTGTTGTGAACTTTGAAGATTTATTTCCACAATGCTTATAGCTACAGAGGTGATTAAGTGTGCAGTCTGGCACATGTTTACTTTAGAGTGCTATATCAATGCATAATCCAATGGCCAACTCTATCCAAAAGCAATATTTTTGTTAAGGTTGTACACCTGATAGTATAATTACCAGTCAGCTCCTGATATCACTTGAATACCTGATTGTATGGGTTACCCTACAGGAATCTGTGTGTCCATCTGTCTTGTATTTGGACTCCACAGTTCCTTACAGTATTAGGTTAATGCTACAAATGGATAGAACATTTAATTATGGCAGTGATCTCCCCACTACAGCTCCTGAGAGTCACTTGACTTGCCAGCAAATATGCACAACAGAAACATCAGTCTTCACTGGACTTAGCCTTTAGGGCCTGTCCACATGAGTTTCAGGTCCTGATCAGGTCCTGATCAGGTGCGGATCTGCAGATGCGGTGCTACTGATGCAGTGCATTTTTGACGCGTTTTTGATGCGTTTTCGGTCCGGATGCTGACAGTTCTTTTTTTTTTTTTTTAAGCCGTGGGGCTATCAGTATGCAGATTCTTCCTCTGAGGTCACTTCCGCCCTCTCGGAACATCTACTTCCCTTTGTGTATGTGTATTTTTTCTGTCGTAAGCTGAACGGACTGCGCACGTGAGAACTGTAGCCCATAAAACACATTGGGATACATTGGGATGCATTTTTAGTGCAGGATCGTACGCATCAGGTCAGCACAGAAAACGGACGTCGTGTGAACAGGCCTTTAATGGCCAACTCATTTGACCCACAGCCTGGTCACCAAATTTTCAAAAGCACATGCAGTATTATGGCTAGATGTTAAGGACACCAATCTTGTGAAATTCAGCCTAATATTACATAATGATTTGAAATGGATAGTTGTAACCTATTCCACTTTTCACATTGTATAGATAAGTTAAATTAATATTGTAGAATTCTGCCTAAAGTCTACTGTATTTTACTCTGTAGCTTTGTTGCCAGCCTATGAAGGAGAGTTCACAAGTGTCTTGGGGCCTGTGTTTACCAGAGAGAAGGAATCATTTGCCCTGTCTTGTTCTGTTTCCTCCAGCCTTAGGAGACACAAGCCAAGCGTCCAGTGGTTTAGGGATGGTATGTATATTGTTCTATATGCAACAAAATAAACTGTAGCATTGTATTATCTCTATATAGAAAAAAAAGCAAGGAAAAATAACTTTTAATATTTTGTAAGAAGATTTATAGCTTTATATCTCTAGACACATCGGATTTAGACAGATCTAGACACATTTTCTCAACTATAATTGGTGGACTGCAAATTTAAAGTGTATTTTACAAGTTACTGTTCTAAAACTGAAGCTCATATTTCTCCTTTATGTATACAAGCTTTGTTTTGCAAATGCACACCATTGCAGCACAGTGGCATAGTGGTTAGCACTTCTGCCTGGCAGCAATGGGGGTACCAGGTTTAAATTTCGGTCAGGATACTATCTGCAAAGAGTTTGCATGTTCTCCCTGTGCTTATGTGGGTTTTTTCCGGGTGATGCGGTTTCCTCCCACACTCCAAAGACATGCTGGAAGGTTAACTGGCTCCTCTCTAAATTGGCCCTGTATGCATGTGAGATGGAAACCTTAGATTGTAAGATGTAAAGCGCTGCATAAATTGTTGGTGCTATATAAATACCAATAATCAATAATGACAATGGATTCCCAAAGCATTATGGAATATCTAAAGAGGCAACACAGCAGTAGAAGTCTGCCTCCTGGCTGTATTTACATTAGGGATTACCTAAAATTTGTATTATTACTAGAGAAAACATCATGCAAGTCTGATATACAATTGTTTCTGTCTTGAAAAGAAAGTCCTTTCTGAAAGAAATATGAGAGCTAATTTCTGTTCAAAAACGCTTACCAGATGGCAGAGATCAGCTTTAGCAGCCTATATGTCTTTCACTCAACATGCATTTCTTTTAAGTCAAGATATAAATTCATAATATTCCTTTTCACTTCTTCAGAAACATTACTGAAAGAGACAGAACACAGGGAAATAAGCTGTGAGGGCTGTGAAATTTCTCTACGTGGATCCCCAACTTTCAAAGAAGATGAAGGATTCTATACAGTCAGTGTGCCTGCTGCATCTGGACATCAGGAGCAAACTACCTATATGTTTGTAAGAGGTGAGCAGACTAGAAATTGCAGTTTTTCCTATAACTTGTTCCCCATCATGAATTCTAGTGGAATGCCATGAATTTGTGGATTTTATTATAGTTTAAGCTGAATTCCAGGCAAATAGCTAAAGGCACAAATGGAATGCATGTTAGGGAGCCGTTTTAAATGCTAAATGATTTGTATTTCTGTCCATCCATTCTGAAGATTTACACAGATCTGCCACCGAAGGAAGGAGACCTGATCTTTCTCTGCTGGAGTGGCTCAGTGGCACTTACATGCCTCCTTCCCACCCCCAGCCTAAGACTGGTTAGTGAAAGGAGGAGCAGCAGACAGATAAGCTAATTTCCCCGTCATTCTGCTCTTTCTTCCTATAAGCACACTCCTTACACTGCAAAAAACCTGATTGGCCCCTTGTACTTTTCTATCGTTACACCTGATGACGCCATCGATGACAGGTCAGCAGAAAACTCCAACGTCCCAATCACCCCATCCATCCCAGGACCGCCACCTGTCTCCCCTGTGGAACCGAGGGCCCCAGACACGACGCAAACTAGCTGACAAATTCCGTGACCGCCACAATGCCCAAGAGGACTCCGCCGGCTGAAGTGGCCCCTTGCTGCCGCATTTATTGTCCCTCTTAATTTCCTAACAGGGGCAAATCTTTGGATCGGTTTATCGTCCGGAGACGACACTCAAGATTCCCGTGTGTCGCGGTCTCGTTGAGATAACTGTCCGTTGACAGATTTTGACTGCGGGGTTGATTTGAGGGCGGCTTCGAACCCAACGGGTATTGTTAGGCCCTTACATGTTACTGATGTTATAGGCTTCCTGATTGTGCTTCTCACGTGGGCTGCGGTGTCCTTGAGGTATCCGCTGTTCACCTGACAGGGTTCTCATCTCTGGCCAGCCATTGTTCATGGCTAACATGAGCGATGGCTGGAAATAGATTAGGAGAGATATGCTCCGATATGTAGGCCCTCTAGCCTTAGGAAATGTATGATATACCTCTTCCCAGGTGACGCGGTACATATTCACCCCCCTACCTGACCCGTCCCGAATACTATTTGCTCTGGCCCGCACTTATAGGGGTTGTTGGTAGCAAGGTGGTCATAGAACATCCCCTCCCTATGTGAGGGGATTGTATGGTGTACCTACTTAGTGGATCCCCTGCCCGTTGCCCTACCCCGACCTTGGTGAGGAGGCCGGGGGTGGGTAACGATGTTGAGTTATGGTCCCCCCACCGAGTTATTAACGGCCCATCGGCCGAATCACACATGTGCCTGTTCATGTCTGGGAAGAGGACTTCTTTAGCAGGGCCATAGTCTATCGATGGGACACAATGGTACCTAATTGGCACATTTGTCTGTTATGGGTCTCGCCTACGTCTTAGGCTTTTTCTGTGTATATAATCCTGACTGAGAAATTTTCAGGGGGGGAAAAACTGAGATGCCTATTCCATTGTTTGTCCGCAGTTTCGAAGATTATAGATATAGATATACTGTTCATTTATGTTAACTTGATTTCGTATGTACTCATAGTGTTAGACTTATTCAGCCGTCCACGTCCGGGTGTGACGCGCTCCCACACTGCAAGTAATGACTCTGAGCATTACTGCGATTGGCCTTAATGGCTGTACGACCTTGGAGGTCAACATCTATAACAAGGGACCCAGGGTTTGCACTCCTACACTTCAAGCCGTCGACGCTCACAAAATCTCAATATAAATTGGCTGTGTATATTCTTCTAGCAGTGAAGCAGGCAATTGCCCAAGCCTGGCGAAAGCAATTTGTATCTTTCGAAGATGTGCAACGTAGGATAGATTCATTTTTCATAAACGAGAAACTCTCTAGCATCCTTTTGGACACCCAAAAGGCTTTCCAAAAAATCTGGTCCCCTTGGATAGCTTATGCACACCCTGAGCTTCCGCTGGAGAGCCTTACATACTTCTAAGATGATCGGAGTCCCTGGTGCGATTGCCCTTCCTACCACCCCCACCCTTCCTCGTGTGATCCTAGTGTTTCCTGTTCCCCCCTATTCTTAATAAAAAGTTATATCAGAGTTTAGCGCTGCTTTCGGCTCTGGAACACGAGGGCGGTAGCCCAGACGGGTCCCCTCGTGGTCCTGGTCCGAAATTGGAGCAATGGCTCCTTGAGGTGACCTAATTATATGATTTGAATGAATGCCTGGCTTCCCTGCGAGGAGGCACTTTGTTTATCACAGTCTGCACTCACTACAAAATGTCTGGACTCTGTCTGTATGGTGTTTGTAACTGCTTCATTCGAAATGTTGTTATCTCAGATACGCTATGTAAAACCAATAAAATGTTTTGAAATTGAAAAAAAACATACATTTAAGGATGTATTATTAGCTACAGAGCTTAATTTAATTGTGTCTTTTATTCCTGCCTGGAGTTCAGCTTTCCTTTCCACCTAAACCACATATTTTAGTTACTAGTTGTCTACGTCAGCCACTCTCTTTTGATATCTTCAAATGGTTTTCTCGCAATAGCTCTCAGATCTGCTTCCTTAATGTGTTAAAAACTCGTAGCTCTTGCAGGGACTGCTTCAGCGATAGAATGTCCCTCAGTGTCCTCATGTCCTTAACACTGTATAGAACATGATGACTCACAGGACCTTAGACCGCTGGGATATAGGGGGAGTGAGGCTGAAGGGACTAGTTTAGCAGCCAGCTTGGATTGCTGTTCGGGTGAGTATATATTTTGTTATTTTAGCTTCCTAGGCAGAATAAGCACTTATCCCTTGCAGTGCAGGGGTAGCCCCACTGCAGCAGTTAAGATTTTTTTTGCCCAGAGTTCTTCTTTAACTCACTTGGCAACTAGCTTAAACTGAAATATCTATTTTAAAGGGAACTGACTTAAAAACACAATAATGACAACAATAATTGTCAACATCCAACATCATCCAAACCACTTCCTGTCAGCCTGGGCTGTGGTGGACATGCCTCCTTGAGCTCCCAGTTTTCCTGGATATGAGCACCGCACATGAGAGAGAAGAGTTACATAATACAGGTTTCAGAAAGTACGCTCCTACTGTTACCATAGGTAATTATTACACTATACGGCATACACCACTATTGTTCTTTGCACTGCCTTATTTAAGTCTGTAGATTTTGGACTCTCACAAGCATAAAAGACAACTATTAGTAAAAATATTGTATTAAGATATATGTATGTGGTTAATACATGTAATTATGGATTTCAGTATATTAATTCATTTTTTTAATTTCACAATATACTGAATATTATCTTTATGTATGTACAGTATTACCACATGCAGTTGTGAGACTGCTACAATGATAAAAAGAGGTCCTTGACATCCCATCATGTAATGTTGACACTAGTGCACTAGAACACAAGTCTAGTTGTGACACCATGTTACCCTTTAACCTCTTTACCCAGAGGTTTATGAACCCAATATGAAGTTCTCTTATCTCATGTTACAAACGAAGATCAATCTCAGGACAGATAAAATTTTCTGTGACAGCAGGTAACATGCCAACAAACCACTTAATGAAGGTTTTTAAGATTAAGATATTCCATCTTTTTTACCACTATGGAATGTTTTATACTTTATTGTAATGTTTAACAAAAACCTATGTTTGGTATCCACAATATGTATTTATTAAAGGATGATGCTAAGCATCAAATTTAGAATCATTTGTAAAAAAAGAAGAAAAAGCCATAGCTGTTTGCAGCACCAATTTGATCTTTCAATCACCCAGGGAATGTGAGAGTGATTAATTCACACTAATATGCCTACTCCTTTTCTCATAACATTGTTAACATCTACTTAGCAGAGCCGTAGCTAGCTCCTTTTGCGCCCGAGGCAAGAACAAAAAATTGCGCTCCCCCAACAGGAGTGTGAGATCGCCCAATGCCGCACACGAGCGGCATCATGTGATGTCATGCCCCCCGCCTCCAGAATGTGTTTTTTAAATTATTTTTTATTGTTTATTTTTATTTGTTTTATTTATATATTTGTATTATTATTTTTTACTGTGTGTGGGGGGGGGGGGAGTATCAGGGTTCTTAACAGACCCCTGAGATTTCCCTTTTGAAATAGAAAAAGAAATTGAGCCCTCAATCTCTTTTTCTGCAGCCTCAGCACTGCTGGCCATGTCCTTGAACATACTTTAATCAATTCAGAAAACTTTAAAGTATCGGTAAGGAGACTTGCTTATTTCAGTTTATTTAAATGAATATAATATTGATACAAGTAAATAAAATATAAAGGCATGTTCAACCTGTGCATGTGTGGGTTTCCTCCCACACTCCAAAGACACATTGGAAGGTTAATTGGCTCTTGTCTAAATTGGCCCTGTTTATATGTGAGATAGGGACCTTAGATTGTAAGCAAGCTCGTTGAGGGATGTGGATGTGCACTGTAAAGTGCTGTGTAAATGTTTGGTGCTATATAAATACCTGTAATAAATAAATAAAACACTATCTGTTATTGAAGACAATTTGTATAAACACATTTTAATTTTGGCTTTATAAAGTGACCATGGTATTATTTTACACTTTAATTATGGAATAGATGCTGAGCCAGAGAAGGCTGGTGTGCCAGGATCCCCACTCTGTGTGCAGTGCCACGATATACAGATTGATTGTCTAGTGTTATCATGGATTCCTCCAAGTGATGATAGAGGCAGTCCTGTATGTGGTTACTACATTGAGAGGTGAGTACACATGAGAACTTTTCTAGCTGCCATTATCTCTTTCAATGTGTCAGCATAGCCTATGTACTTCATTACTACACTCACTTTGGGTGTAGTAAGAGATACCAGAAGCCCATCATCCATATCTCTATACTTTCTGCTGGCCGTGTCCTTGAAAATACTTTAATCAATTCAGAAAGATGGATATTGACAGACAATGAAGGGACATGCACAAAGGACATGGAGACTAATGGAGCTGAGAATCTTCTCTCAATAAATTGTAGCTCTGTGTACTTTGAATATCCAATCATATGCAGATGAAATAAAAGAACAAGAATTTGCTTTTCACATGAATTATTGATGTCTATATGTCCTTCCCCCCATCTAAGCTACAGACTGTATTCCAATCTAGGGGGGAACAACCATATTGCATTTTACTAATTGGTTTATACACCTAGCTCTGGGCTTATACTGTATAATGTATTGCTCTCACATCATTTAAAATTGTAACCTTGTACCAAAACTGCCAAAGAATGTGTGTGAACATTTGTGCACAGCATGGACAAATGATAAAATCCATGAGTGTAGATTATGCTTATCTGCATGGGCACTGACACTATTCATCATACACAAATAAATATTAGTAAATCAGGCCCATAGTGTTAAGAGCTATACAGTTCTTGAGGACAGTTCACTGTTTTATAAATAATTATAAACTATACCGAAAAGAGGACTAAGAACTGGTAAGCTGCAATATATGACATTTTTGTTTTAGGGTAAAGATACACGTTTTGGGTAGAATAGAGAAGGAATAACATCTCTAGGGTTTTATTGCTGGCTGTGTCACCAAGCGGAGTTTTATCTTCTCTATTTGTCCTAGTGAATATCGTCTCTAGGAAGGGAAGTGAGGGGAGATCCCAAATTTTAGGCCACCACAAGAAAAGGTGTAAAGGGAATATCTTCCAACGTGGACACTTTTTCCAGTAACGACTATCTGAGAGTGGATTTCCCTCACTTTAGAGATATTTACTCCACCTTCCTGTTGTGTCTACAGGAAGGGAAGCAAAGGGAGATCTCTCCAATGAGACATAGATGGTAATTATTCTTTGCTTTATCCAAAATGGATTTATCCATTTGGATTTGAGATATACTTTAAAGATACTTTGGTATACACATACTGTATGCACTTTCATGGAAATACACTAAAGTAAGGGGATACAAATTGAAAAAGCATTCAATAATTGCACACTGCAAAAAATGGTTTCTGCTTTCCTCAAGCTTTGATGCCGCAACAAAACAGTGGATAAGATGCAATGAAATTCCAGCCAAGATCTGCCGATATCCTTTATCTGGTCTTATTCCTGGGCATACATATCAGTTCAGAGTAAGAGCACTCAACCAGATTGGTGTCAGCCATCCATCAAAATCAAGTGACCCTGTGACTACAAGAGATCCGGCACAGGAGGAAAGAAAAATAGGTTTGTTCTGAGCCCATGTTATATCCTCACTGCAATATAAACAGTCATTTACATGTGTGAACAATAAAGTAGTCTATATTGAATATTACAGCATGCATCACAAATTTCAGAATTGTAAGTACTAGTAAACTGATTAGTGTGCTCTTAGCACATGTTTAATCATAATTCCATTATCTGCTTTCCTCTGGAAGGAGGGTACCATCTTTGTTCTGCTCCTACACTAAGGGGTCTATTCACGAAGCAGTTTATTAATCATAATTCCATTATCTGCTTTCCTCTGGAAGGAGGGTACCATCTTTGTTCTGCTCCTATACTAAGGGGTCTATTCACGAAGCAGCCGAAGGATCTAGCCGTAGCTCCGGCTGAGCCTTCAGTTAGCTTCGGCCCCAGGACCCCTTCGGTTCAGTAGAACCGAAGGACTGCTGTACGGGCTATTCACTATAGCCCTACAGCTCCCGAAGTGGGCCGGGCGGCTCAGTCGAGCCGAAGGCATATGCCTCGGCTCGACTGA